ATAATATTCCCAATACAGACTTAAAAATTTATTTACATTATATTGGTACTACAAACAGACATCACTATAATCTTTCAACAGCAGACGAAATCACTATACTTATACCTGGTAATAAATCTGTCTCAGAAGCTATGTGTGACATAGTTATTTGATTACGTGACAATTCACTTGAACATATTCATGAAGAACATCCCGCTTACTTACCCCTACATTATATACTTCTTTTTTCACGTGATGAACTTGAATAGCATGAAAGATTATGTCAAACCTTAACAAACACAAAAAGTAATTGAATAAATGACCCAAACAGGACTCATCGCCTTACACAAAAAGAGTTTTACTTATTTCATCTCTTTCCTCGCCGTACTGAATTTTCAACAATTCTTTGAGGGAGAAATTATTTTAGGAGTTTATAGTCGATGCATAGGCAGCTACAAAACAAAGTCGATTAAGATTTTTACGCAACAACCAAGGAATATTATATGCTGATTTATATCAGAAACTTGCTGATACTGCAGGAAATATTATAAATAGAGAATTAAACCTAAATAATCTTAGACATCCAGTAATTCTTCCTTCTACATATATCAGAAGCTCGCATCAAATTTTTGAAATTTTCCAAGACTCGATGGCTATTACCTGATTCTACCAACATCCTGACATTTTTAGAACTATGATAGCAAATCCTAAATAGTCTGAAATTGTTAATGAACTATTATCTGGTCAAACACCAGCAGACCATCCTGACTTAGTAGCACGCGTATTTGAACTGAAATGATGATCTCTCCTAAAAGATATTAGAAAAAATAATTTACTTAGTAAAAACATCGCTCACGTCTACATGATCGAGTTTCAAAAATGTGGTCTTCCTCATATGCTTTTTTAATATTTCTTCATAAAGACCACAAAATAAAAGAACCTTCTGACATAAATTGTATCATAAGTGCTGAATTTCCTAATCAAGAAGAAGATCTGATATTATTCAATACCATATTACATTTTATGGTTCATAGCCCTTGCGGCACTCGCAATCTCAAAGCAC